AGAAATTAGCAGAAGAGAACACTTTTGGTGATAAAAGCTATGAGAGTGATTATAACACCTCGGAAAAGAATGAAAATCCTGTTAAAACGGGCCAATGATACTCAGAAAATAGGAGAATGAAGATTGTTGCCATAAACTAACCTCATTTGCAGACCCCAGTTAAAAACACCAACACTGTGGTGTTTTATCATAACGTAACAAATGCACAAAACAGTAATTTCCGAGCCGATTACCCATTGACATCTCCAAATTACCCAAAGTGGGTAATTTCATCTCGTATGAGATCCACTGCCCTAGAATCTTCGAATCCATTCATACATTTTCGTCATGAATGAATGGTTCTTTCCAGTACGCTGAATTGTAATTTGAATAAATTGAATCGCTGTTCCAATATTCTCCGAGAAACTTTGTTAATGAATTTGACAATGCAATAATGTAATTCAATTTGATATGAACAATAGAGCAATATGTTGCCATCAACTAATATCTTAGAAAATGCGAAATGATGAAGGTGGTTGGTAGACGGAAACGTGATGAAGCGGGGATAAAAAGTATCGTTGCTGAATATATAAGGTGATGATAGAAGTTTGCAAATGTTTCAGGTGAACGAGGTGGGTGTTTTCAGTTGCGGACCGGATACAATCAACAAGCAGATTCGATCGTCATGCACCAAAGCGAATCGCAGTCGTGATCCACCCTCATTTCACCATCGTTTCGAAACATTCTAATTGTTAGCTAACGTCAACGGCGTCACTTCTAACTGTCCTGTTTTTTGAAGCGAATCACTGCCTTTATTTTATTTATCAACAGTCTTCTTCGTACATTCATCACTTCTCATTCCTTTGTTATATTTGTTTTGATAATTTGTTTTTATGATCGTATTGTTTGTGGTAGATTGGTACTGAATGAGGGAGTTGAATAGCAATTAAACTGGATTTGAGACAATATTCAGTTGATTTGAAATATTGAGAATATTTTTTGAATTCTTTTGGAAGCATTACTGCAGTCATACTACCAAAAAAAATATTATTGAGCCGTTTATGCATTAAAAAACATAGCAACAGGGTCCAACAGATAATTTGAATTCATAAGCTCGACAGTAATAAGCCAAAGATTTGTTAAAAAATGACCATCCCTCGATCATTTGGGAATCTACAAGCTTATATTCTTGCCTGGATGCAGGACCGCAAGAAATATTCCATGACCCTTGCGCATCCCTTCCGATTCACATCCTATCTACCACGAAAAGATCATCTGCAATAAAGTGCCTTAGTCAGGGGCCAAACTCTATTTAGATTCATACGTGTGTGTGTGTGTGGGTTTTGTTTTTTGAACTTTCATTTCAATTAGCAGTATCTGATAACGTCTTTGAAGCATTTTCTGCAAACTTTAACAGCAAAACATTAACGTTCTCTGGTTCGAAATTTGAAATCGGTTGAATTTTCTTCCAAAGTGGAATTATTCAGATAAGTTCTGTAATCAAACCTTTGAATGTGAAACTTTTTTCAAAAAAATTAATTCAGTGTTTGATTACAGTGCTTTCTTTGTCACATAGCATAAGTAATTCATTTGAAGCGGACGGATTTGAAACTAATAATAATATGTTTAATATTAAAGTATTGCTAAGCCGTATTATTCAACAAAGAAATGGGCGCAGAGAAATGTCTTAAGTTCTGAGAAACTCTGATCCTATTCTGTGCTATAAATTTTCACTGCTTAGCATTGTTTGTCCCAGAAATAGAATTAAATTTCTATTGAAATGTGTAAATATGATAAAAATTTCTCTGTAGTTGAAACTCCATCAAAATGCAGTTAAGATCACTGGGAAGTCTCACAAGAAGGCAAAGTTTCTGGGTGAAAAATCTCAAAATGAGGCCACTGGGATATCTCTTCTCAAATACTGAACTATCTCTCTTTTCACAAATGTATGACATATATTAAGTTGATTACCTATCCTAAATTTCAAAATTGATGATAACTTAATGAAGGCGGACACTTCAGTGGAAATTCTCGCTGGAGTGAATCGAACAAACGTTTTGAAAGTATATGTAAGAGAATGAGAATGTCATATTGACTGTTGTTTCGAAGAATGAGAAAAAATAGCAAGGCAACACTTTTGAAGATGACAGCCATGAGAGAGATTATAACATCGTCAAAAAGACTGAAAATTCATCAGCAATGTAGAATTTCTGATTGATTTGCGTGTGACTCCAATTTTGCAGACAAGAAAGCATCAAAAGCGATTGCTGGTATATGTGAAAATTGTTTCTCCCCAATCTTATGGCTAAAAAGAAGCTTCGAAAAAATAATGAAGTGTTTTTGGATCCCCATCAAATGTGCTAATTAATGAACATTTGTGAAGAGGGCTTTATGGCGTAATTCCACTCGTTTCGTCTGTGTCCACAAAAAGGGTCATCAATCGACAATAGAAGTGAGAAAAGTTTCATATTGGCCACCGGTATTAACACAATCAAGTGTGCAACTAGCATAAGGTGTCAACTGCTATCTCAGCCACCTATAATAACGAATATCATCCAATTGCACAAAAAGAAGACCATGAATAAGTGAATGTAAATAAACAAATATTTGAACAAAACGCAACACACACTTCTCACATTACACATTCATCGTCTAATTATACAGATCAATGTGATCAGTGTATCCGGGTCGTTCACGTCCACAGCAATTCTTTGCCCAATAAATTTTTACAGTAAACGCAAACAATCCTTATTCTATATATAATGCATTTGAATAGAATAAACACAGCAAAAATTTGAAATTATAGAAGGAAATTAAAAATAGACGGAGGTAGAATGAACAGCGTAAGTATTCCGCAGTCAGTTTAAACTCAGCAACATTAATAATACAACAGTTTTCTTTTGGAGCTTGTTTAGAGCTGTGTTCAGTGTATAACTCATTCGTTTTCAGTTTTTCTTCAAAAAAATGACTCTCCATTATATGAGTACTTCCATATTTCTGAGGAACACAAAGAGATAAATTGACATTTCTGGATGGAAAGATCGAAGTAGTCGTTGGAAGTGACATTAAACATTTACTTCGCTTCAAGTTCCATACATATTATTATTTTCTTTGACTGCATCTTAAATATTTATGATGGTCTTCCGTTGTGTATAATTGAATTATGACACCTTTTTTCAATGATCTGGAAAGTCATATCAATTGGTCACATTTAGTCGAAGAATGACCCGTTCTTAAATTTGCTTTTCCAGCTATACGCATTCCAAAGATTAGGCTTAAAATAATCCTGAAAAATTCTGCTCCTGAAAATCTGTTTATGTCTGGGGAGTTGTTTCGATGAAGAGCTAACTGATTTCTTATCAACCCAATCAGTTTAAAATTTTTAAAGATTCCCTCAACCACTATCTTTTTCAACTCAATACCAGAACGTGCATTAATCTTATGACAATAAGCATTATGAAAAGCACACTTGTATTATTCTTGTGCATTGCGCAATGATAGATGCACGAATGGAAGATATATTTCAAGAACGATGAGAAGTTGAGTGCACTCAACGTATTTAACTTCAACACTAAATGGCCACCGCATCTTTCAGCTCATTTTCAGAGAAATTCCCCAAGGAGTGTTTGTCTTTTGATGGAGCGTTTTTATTATGATACCAGTTGGATGCACAGTTGAATGCTTTCTTTCAACCGACAATTCCTTTCAACAAATTTGTCAAAACGTTTAGCAAAAAAACAAAACAATACCCTCATTTATTTTGTGGAAGACGATTGGTTTACACTTCATCAGAAATATTTATCAACGAATCAATATTGTTGTAACATAATATAACACAGTATTATACATAGAAATTTGAGAATTTATTCAACGCCATATTGAATTTTCATAAGTTAACATATATAATATGCATAAAT